ACTCTTCTTTTGAATCTGAAATATCTTCAGAAGTTAACTCAAGTGTTAACACTACACCATAGTTTGTTTGAGACTTGTTCCAATCCACACTTTTGTTTCCTTCACAATAACATCTCTATTGGATTTAACATTGTTAATGACAGGACAATAGAGCTTATAAACACTATAACTATGGTACCCTACAAGAAACATGACTCTATGTAACACCCTTCTAAATCCCGCTCGATAAATATAAATAAATCAGAGTAATTATCATGCATTTCACAAAAGGGTGCCACATAAAATTTCAAAACATCACGCAAATACATGTCATGCTCATTAACACTTAAAGTAAATTCATACTTTTGATAAACTTTCACCTTAGCATGTAGCAGCGGATTTACTTCAATCATAAAAGATGTAATGAAAGTCTCATGCTCATCACATCCATAACCAATACTTATGCCTAAAAGCCAATACTCCACATAATTCAAATAAACATAAACGACATAAAGAAGAGTACATAATGTATCTCTCAAACATAAATCGAAACAATCTCAGTGTTACATGATTAGAGCACGACTCGACCCAACATAAATAAAAACACAAATCAAGCTACTCCAACGGCTACCTCACGCTAGAAGCAACTCTACTCTTCGGTACCTGAGCGATGTCGTATAAAACATCATTCCAACATAAGGGTGAGAATTCACATGATTATTGAAATTATAAGATAATATATAATTTAAGGCATACAAGCATGATTATAAATATTCTCACACTTCGAAGTTTCATCAACATAGTATCATTCAAGTAACCATACTATTCACAAGTATGTATATACATAAGTCCATAATTCACCAATTCAGCAATTCACATAAATACACATAATCTCATATAACAAACATATACATAATGAGACTCAATGCAAGACTCAAATGCAACTCATGTCATGTGATACCAACACTTGTTATTATTTTTCGGTTTTTACATTAAATCGGGTTTGTTCCCTAGACCAATAACACACAAAAACCCGTTCCCTAAACTTTCAAACTCCGCTCTAGATTTGGGACAAGTCACTAGCTCCCACGGAACTAGCAAGCATTGTCTCTTGACACAATGATGTGTGTGCAAATTCAACAATCATATGCAATTAAGACCATACTCAAATCTTAATAGTCATGCATATCTTCAATAATTCATCACATTTGAATTACCATACATTTGCATATACATAAACAATCCAACCTCAATTCACAAAACATCCATCACCAATTAAACATAGAATAATTAATCAATCATTAATAATTAAAAATTCGATATTCAAATAAACATTCACTACTCAGTAAATATTAAATAATTAGTCAATATTCAATAAATAATCAATATTTTAATAAACAATCATTATTTTAATAAATAATCAATATTTTAATAAATAATTAATATTTTAATAAACAATTATTATTTTAATAAATAATTAATATTTTAATAAATGTGCAAGAAATATTCAATATTAAATAAACATCCAATATTTTAAATAAATATTTAATATTATCCAGTATTTAATAACTATTTAGTAATTAATAAACATCCTAATTCATATGAAGCTGAATTGCAAGCTTTTGATGGTGTAGAATCTAAATAACACTCTTTAAGTGATGTTTGGCGTAGACTTTGAAGCTAGAGGTCTCAACATCAGAAGAAGCAGCATAATTGTCTCTACACTTGGTGAATATAAATTGGCTTCTGGTGATCATTCAGAGTTAGTGATAAAGCTAAAGCTATTTGTACTGTAGAAAGCAAGTTGTATTATCAAATCAGTTTGTCAGTTAGAGTCTTAGTTCACAAGGCTCAAGAAACGTTGGCATGTTTTAAGGATATCTACTCCCAACGGCTCTATAGTAAAGGATCTCTTTGAAGACTCAATGGTTAAACATGTTACATAATGGATCAAGATCTTTTGGTGTATATATCTTCAAAATCTCTTGTACTATGGAGAAAGCAAAGACACTTGATCAAGTTATCTCTCCAACGGCTAGTCTTTTGCAAATTCTATATAAGTAGCTTAAGGTTCAAACTGAATCTTTAACAAGGACCAACCTGATGGAGGAGTAACAAGATCAGCAATTATTAACATAATCGAGTATGCATAATTTCTATTGTAGGTTGTCATTGTAAAAGCCTTAAGATTTCTTAAACATTAAATATCTTAGAAATCTTAAGAGTTTTAGGTCTTTGTTATGGTGATTTTCCTATACCTCTGATATTTGTATCATACACCTTGTTCTCTATTCTGTTGAACATGTTGTTTAGCAGTTTAGATTAAGTCTCTTGTCAATATGCTTGAGCCATGTAAATCTCCTGCTATGTGCTAGAGCAATGAAAGTCTTAATTAAGTAGATAGATTGAGAAATCAAGTTTTTCGCCAAGATGATTGAGCCATGTAAGTCTCATGCTATGTGCTAGAGCATTGAAAGTGTTAATCAAGTGGATTGATTAAGCAACTAAGTCTCTCATCAAGATACTTGAGCCATGTAAGTCTCTTGCTATGTGCTAGAGCAATGAAAGTCTTAATCAAGTGGATTGATTGAGCAGAAGTTTTAAATTCGTTGGATTTAAGCAACGAAGTCTCGAATCGAGGCTCTGAGCATAAGTCTTGAACCTTAGGGGTTTAAGTAGGAAGTCTTGGATTTGTGGAACCTGAGCAGGGAAGTCTTGGATCGTGGGTCTGAGCAAGAAGTCTTTGGCCTCAGGGGCTTGAGCAGGAAGTCTTGGGTCTGAGGGGCCTAAGCAGGAAAGTCTTAGGTTGAGGGTCTAAGAAAGGAAGTCTTGGGTCTGTAGGACTTAAGCAAGGAATTATTGAGTCTTAGAGGTTTAAGCAAGAAGTTTCGGACTTAAGGTCTGAGCATTGTAAAAAATGTATGCATAATGCGTAAGAGATTGTAATCATGATTTGATTATAGTGAAAATCTCTTCTGAAGCAAGGGGACTGAACTACTCTCATTTGGGAGGAACCAGTATAAATCTTTGTGTCTTCTGTTATTATTTATTTGCTTTTGTTAAAATTCCACTACTAAGTATAACTAGAATATGAACACCAATTTAAATTCTAAACTCTGATCAGACGCAAATTAAGAAAATGGGAAACATAATTCAACCCTCCCCCCTCTTGTGTACTTTTCTCACCTTCAGACTCTCCTCTGGGTATGTTTGCTTCTTCTGATTTCCTTTTCTTGTTTGACCAACAGTCATCAACAAAACAACCAAACTTCTTAGAACAGTAACATTGAACATTCTTCTTGTCAAACTTCTCATTTCCCCTCTGATGTTTCTTTTCATTAGAGTTACAGACTTTTGACTTCTTACCACCGTCATGTCTGCTTATGATTCTTCTAACCAGAAGATGCCATCAAATTTCACTCTACCTCTCTTTCAGAGGTTCTCTTAGCCAGACACAACTCTTGTGCCTCTAAACTACTCTACAGCTCTTCAATTCTCATGGTGCTATGATCCTTAGAATGTTCAGTCGCTATAACAATGTAATCAAACTAAGGAATAATTGACTTCAGTACCTTTTTAATGATTACTTATTCATAGAGAGTCTCTCTACAAGATTTCATCTCATTTGTGATCAAAATCACTTTGGAGATGTAATCAGGTACCGTCTCATTATTCTTCATGTTGAGATTCTCATACTGCTTAGGTAAAAACTAGAGCTTCACCTTCTTCACTGATGCATCACCATCAAAGTATCGTAACAGTGTCTCCCACATAACCTTCATCGTTGTTGAATCAACGATCTTCTCAAACACATTCACATCCAAAGATTGATGGATGTAGAACATAGTTTTTTTATCCTTCTTCCTCATCTCTCTATACAAGTTCCTTTGTGCATCAGTTGCATCTTCTACAACCATTGTGTAACTGTCATTGACGAGATAAAAAATATCTTGAGCGCTAAACAAAACATGCATCTGAATCATCTACTGATTCCAAATCTTTCCATCAAAGACTAAAAGCTTTGTGTTCAATCTTCCGTTTTCACCGTTCATATTCGATCTTGTGCAAAAATTCACTCAAATCTCACCAAACACTTTTGTTTACCAATCCCTTAGAATCAAAAAATGTGATTCTGTTACGATTTCGAACTTCAATTCACTGTAAATTTCATAACTGAAATCAATCACACACACCTCATATTCACTCATGTTTTATTTGGTGTTTTTCGAGGATTCGAACCAGAACTCTAGATATCAATTGTTAGTGCACAAGAAGGAAAAAAATGAAGATGATGAAAATAGAAGAGAGAGAAAGAGAGAGAAGAAAGAAAAATTATAACTAATTTTTCAACCGAAAATGATTACAATATTAATTCTAAAATTGAACTATGCTTTAACTTATATATAAAGCTAAAATGTAATCTAAATGTTAAACTAAATTGAAACTGAAATAAATTACAATAATTTAATGTAGTTTTATTAGTGTTGTTATATGTCAATAAATTTTCTTTTCACTTATTCTTTGGTTGTTGCAAATTTTCAACTTAAATATTTATCTTCACTTTAACGTCCCAAGTTTTCAGTTCAAAGTCTTGTACTGCATAGACACATTATAATCATATAGTTATGAGGGGAACCATTATGTTTTTTGAGTCAATATCAATCAGATTACCATATCAACCATAAGAATGAAAAAGATTGTGAACTTGGCCAAAGAGATATTTGTTTCTATATTTATTGAATTCTTTTCCTCCCATATTCTCATGTTCCTATATATCAAATCTTAGCCCAATTTTCTTTTTTCTTTTTAAATTCATTCATTGACTTGGGAGCACATGAATGTGACAACCAAGATCTTAATTATCACAACTTGACACTATATATTAAGACTAATCATGTCACAGATCCACATCCAACGCTAGTCAATACAAACTATATCACTTTTCTTTCTTTTCCCCTCAAACTTCAATTTTCTCTATTTTCTAAACCATTAAGCACCACTCATAATTCCTTTATAGGAAAATGACCAAAATATTTATATTGTGTCTTCTCTTCTTAGCTTCTTCTGGATTTGTCTATGGCTCCACTAAGAGAGAGATTAAAGATCATGATATTAAGTTGTTTGTGCTTCAGAAAGGTGATCTTACTCTGAAAGTCACTAATTGGGGTGCTACACTTGTTTCATTAATCCTTCCAGACAAAAATGGTAATATTTTAAATATATATTTATGTGTTTTATATGTTATTTAATATATTTTTTGTATTAATTTTTTATTAACTATATGGCTCAATTTGTTTCAGGAAAGTTAGGTGATATTGTTCTAGGATATGATAATATCAAGACATACACTGTAAGTGTATAGTTATAAAAATTTGCATTCAAATGTTTATTTTGAATTTTGTTTTATGTTCTTGATAATTTAGTTGGAGACAAGGATAAAATAAAACTTCTAAGTTTTTTTTCAATTATTTGATTAATCCAAATATTTTATTATTTTATGACGGTTAAGTTTTGATTGGGACAAACATGTTATAGCTAGGATATGTATTTTAGTATTAGATTATAAATGTTGTATCTTTGGTTTCATCATAATTATTATTTTGCATTTGTGGCCTCTTTTTCTTATCTTCTCCTTTGGAATTATCTGTGACAATATCTAGTCAAGAGCCCTGCTTGTATATATATATATATATATATATATATATATATATATATATATATATATATATATATATATATATATATATATATATATATATATATATATATATATATATATATATATATATATATATATATATATATATATATATATATATATATATATATATATATATATATATATATATATATATATATATCTTATTTGATATTGTCTGTCTTGAATGTGAGAAATCATATTTGCGCGTATTATTATAGTTACAAAATATTATCTTATTTGAATGTGAAAATATAGAAGACTTTGACTTTTAAAAATGGTATTTCATTAAATTTGCAGAATGATTCATCATACTTTGGAGCTACAGTTGGCAGGGTTGCTAACAGAATTGGAGGAGCAAAATTTAGTCTAAATGGAATACAATACAAATTAATAGCAAATGAAGGAAACAATACTCTTCATGGTACACATTTTTATTTTCATATATCATTTAATACATGATTAATTTTTATTATAATAACATTGTGTGGTATATTAAACTAAAATTGCAATTGTGTTAATTTCAATTATTATTAGGTGGAACTAGAGGATTCAGTGATGTTCTTTGGAAAGTGGAAAAGTATGTAAAAGAAGGTGATAGACCATTTATCAAATTCAGTTACCACAGTTTTGATGGTGAAGAAGGTAATTAAGCACTACTCAATTTCATTATATATGTTCACTCATGCAAATATTATTTTTTATGGTGAAATAATGTATTAAAAATATGAGTGGAATAAATAACCAGCAAAGTACATAATATTCAGATAGTATAAGCTTTGTCAAATCGAACACTCAAAAGTAAAAATAAATAAATAATAAATAAAAAGAAGAAGGAGAATAGTCTAGAGAAATAACCAAAAATAAACTAAAAGGATGGCACAAATAAAACATCGAAAACCAAATAACTAAAGACTTCATTCTTTAATAGGTACCCTTTAATAGTTACATGTTAGAGTTCAAACCACCGGAACAAGCATTAACAGAACAAAGATCTCTAAGAGAAAGTACCAAACTTACTAGCAATCTCAAAACCAAATCAAAACTATCAAGTTGTTAATAACTAAGGCAAAAGATAGATTTCCCATTGATTTACCAAAAAAACCATTTTCAAGTTAGAAAATATTTTTCCTCCATTTCTTTCACGTTTTTTGGTTAAAAAGAAGCCTAGGATATCTAGGTAAAACCACATGTCACCTCAACTACATAAAGACCATATATCACACAATAAAATCTATCTCACAAGTAACAAACAAATAGAAAATTAACTCGACTAAATCCCCCACACAAAAAGGACAAGAGACTCCATTTGAATCAATAATCACATGTTATCTCTAAAAAGTAACCTATCTTTCAATAGTTGCCAAGAAAAAATACCATATTAAAAGGAGACTAACTAACCCAAATAAGGAGAATGATCAAATTATTAGTCGAATGGAAAAGGGTGGAAGAATTATTAAGATCCATTTGAGCTTGATAAGTATAAGCCATTGTGAAGACATTATCTCTCGTATAATTCCAACTCCATTTATCTATATCCAGTCAAAAGTGAAGTCTTGGAGGACAAAAATAAGATTGGTGACTACTAGATATCCATGGACAAGCAATGGTTTCCTCCACCTCAAACTTCAAATAAGATTCTCATCTACCCACCGACCTATCTCTCCCACACACCCCTCTGATTAATTTGAGATGGTAGACTACTTAGGGAATATAATATTAAGGGAAATGCTCCATGTCCAAGAATCCTCGTAGAAAGACATCTGAAGAGTATCGACATAAGAATGTAAAAAATGTCCAATAGCCTACTGACCCGAGATGAAAAGTACATACAAGAGAAAGTTGGCAACAAACAAAGCCATCTAAGGAGGAAGGTTTGAGAATGGAGAATCAAGCAAGAGAGAAGGTGAAAAGATTCGACAAGGAGCCAAGAAAAAATCAGGATTCCACAAGGAAACTTGTTCCAGTGCGTAAGCAAAAAGAGGAACGCCATCAAGATTCCAAGAGTATACTCCTCTGGATACTTCAAGGGAGCGTATTTTATAGGGATGAATTAATGGTGAGTTCAAAGAAGAAAAATTAGAGATACTAAAACCTACTCTAGAATGCCACAAAGTGGAAAAGGCCAGGTATTGTCGCTTCCATTAGTGAATGGAAACAATATTGATGAGCTAGTACAATTGAAAGACGTCGTAGAAGGCTTAATGAAAAGGAAAACTTTAGATATTTGCTCATCATGACAAGAATAAGTCCAAAGAGAAAGGAGAATATGATGGTAACCCATGGAGGATAAGAAAGTTCATGTAAGTGAAAAAAACACATACACACACAAAGACAACGATAACATATTACTCGTTTCCTATACGATGGCCAAGGAGTCATTCAAGGAATGGGAGAACTTACTTATTATTATGTCTATCGAGGAGGATCCCTAGAAACTTGGGAGACAACCCCTGAGGAGCAAGCAAATCCCTGAGGAGAATTATTTGAGTGAATAATTAAACCAACTCACTCTAGGTTTGGAAGCACTGAACATGAGTGAGGTCATTTCCACTGGGTTCCCTCACTCATAAAACGTATCATGTAACTACATAAAAAGTAAAATTATAGAAATCATGTTATAAGACCAGAAGCTATATAGAGAGACACTGAAAAAAAGAAGGTCTCTAATCTCATTTTAGGACAATGAGCTTATTAATAAAGTCCCAAATTCTCACGTCCCTTTGTTGATCAAATTCATCATGGAAAACTTAGATGTACAAAGATAATGTAAGTTAGCCTTTTAAGAAAACTATAGATGTTACAAAAAACTCATCTCATATAAGGGAAAAGATCTCTAAGAATTTAACCAATGATTTAATGGGTCGACCACTAGACGGTGGGCATATGTAGAGATAATGGTATCAGTGGGAAAGAAAGCCCGAAAGATAGTGAAAACTCAATTCTTAGTGATTGACTTCCAATTAGTTTTAAAGTGTATCATCATACAAACAACACTAAAATCTTTAGGAGTCATTTCCTTAATGGTTCATTTGAAAATGAAATATCATATCGATGAAGGCATTGTGGCAACAATAAAGGCCGATCTGTAGGCATGTAGGTAGTCTTTCTTAGCATCCTTGAAGATTCACCATGGAGCATGTGATTCCATCAATAAAGAGCAAATAATGACTAAAGAGAAGGATAAGATTGAAGAATCGTAGTAGAAAAAGAAAGGCAGAGGAAAAGAACCTTTGCAAACCCTCATTAAGTTAGATGAAGGGAAATGCCATAATCATTCATTTTAAGAAGTTTATTTTCTTGTTTTTCAAATTAGAACAAAATGGTTGCAACCATATTGAATTAAACTCTAATTAAAACTTATTTAAATTTACAATAGAAAGTATTATGTTTTTTTAGCTTCACTTCAAGAATATGATATCCCAGAAAAAAGGAATCATCGTGAAAGCCACAACTAATGGCCAATGGACCTCACACTCTAATTTTCCACCAGAGAAAAGAAAGTATACCTAAAAAACATCACTCCAACCTCATTCTCAAGTTTAAAATCCAAAAGAGTGGGGAAATACAAATTGTATCCCTAGGTTGGGAATGTCCTTATTGCGGGGTCACAAAAAAGCATCAATTTTAGTCAAGAAAGGTCCAAAGAGGCAAAAGTTCTCACAAACCAAGAAAATACCTATTTGAGAATTCATAAAGAAGCATAAATTTTAACCTAGTAAGGCCCAAAGAGGCAAAAATTTCCATAAATTGGGAAGATTTCTATTTGATGAATCATAAAGAAGTATCAGTTTTAACCAAGTAAGGCATATATATATATATATATATATATATATATATATATATATATATATATATATATATATATATATATATATATATATATATATATATATATATATATATATATATATATATATATATATATATATATATATATATATATATATATATATATATATATATAGAGAGAGAGAGAGAGAGAGAGAGAGAGAGAGAGAGAGAGAGAGAGAGAGAGAGAGAGAGAGAGAGAGAGAGAGAGAGAGAGAGAGAGAGAGAGAGAGAGAGAGAGAGAGAGAGAGAGAGAGAGAGAGAGAGAGAGAGAGAGAGAGAGAGAGAGAGAGGAAACAAATTTACAAACCGTGAACATCCCTATTTATGGAATCATAAACAAGCATCTATGTTAATCGTGTAAGGTTAAGAGAGGAAAAAATTCCTATGAACCGAGATCATCCCTATTTGAGGGATCATAAATAAGAATTAATTTTAGCCGAGTAATGCACAAAGAGGTAAGGATGCCTTTGAAACACAAACCTCCCTATTCAAGAAATTGTAAAAAAGCATTGGTCTTAGCCAAGTAAAATCCAAAGAGGCACACTTTTATGGGATGACAAAGAGGCGGAACTTTTATGAGAAGATATCATTTAATGATAAAAAAGAAATGTTAGTTTTGACCAAGGAGATTTCAAAATAAGAGGAAAGTTTTTTCAATAAGCTAAGGGTTGCCCTATGGTAAAGCTAATGAAGAAAAAATGTTCGTGGCTAAGAAAATTCAAACAAACCTTAAAGTCAAGGGTCTCTACAAAAATAAGATATATTTTGAATCCATGTGAAGGAGAGATATGAATAACCACGCATGAAAATTTATTAAAATGCAAGGAAACAATATTACTTAAAAGAATCACATTTATTCATACTAGTCCCTAATAAAATACAAAATAAAATTTCCCCAAGACATATTACAAGGATACCATTCTTATTCATTCTCACCTTCCCATACCCTTTTACTAAGATCAACGCCAGAAGTCACCAAGGAAACCGAGGGGTTCAAAACACAAAGTTGGACTATTGCTTTTTCAAAATTTTGAGAGCTAGCACTAACTGTCACCACTTTAACTTCTAGTGGATCCTCCTCAGTTCTACATTAACTAAAGCTAAAGAAGCCATTTTCTCTCTGGGCCCCTCAAATTTGTGTTGACCTGGACACCTCTTTAGAATTTGATTTTTATGATGAAGCGTGAATACTCTCATTCTAGAATCCAAAATTTGTGATTCTATTATCTTTTTCACCTCGAGACACTTGGCCACAAAAATGATAAATTTATTCCTCTCTTCATCTAAAAATTGGATATGATTTTAAAATTATCTTCGGTTAATTGATTATGTTTGAAGTCATATTATCATAAAACACACCTGAAATATCCAAGGCTTTCTTTCTGGTAGTAAAAAGAAAGTGTTAAGAATTAATAAGATGTAAGGGACCGTGTCCAACGAAAGTGTCAGAATAATTTTTCACCCTCTTATAAGAAGCCATAAAACATTGTCTAAACTCTCGAGAACAAGATAAAATCTGCTAGGGAGTAATGAGATATGATCATTGGACCCAAAATTAAATAATTGCATATAAAAAGGATCAACAATGGCATATATGGACTCATGGAAAGGATGAGACAAATGGTAAAGTACTACAAACCTACAATGGAAATCTTCCATAGATGGAGGAAGAAGTTAAAAAAGAGACAAAGAGGTTCAATCATCACTAAGTCATTATTAACTTTGGTGAATTCCCAAATAACATGGAACATATAACACCACATCCTGAGGCTTTATGTGAAGATGAGCACATAAATGGTAGAAATATTGAATATAACTCTAATAAAGAGAAAAAACCATCGAAGGGTTAACCTAAGACTAGAAAATATATGATGTTCAAATGGTGAGAAGGGCGAGCAAAAACTATACTCCTTGGAAGTTATATCATATATGGGGAAGAGACTCAACAAAAAGTTCTCACAGGTTCAATCATTTGGGCCGGGAGCCATACCTCATTCCTCAACCTCTCCATACAAGATTCGAGAATAAAATTGATGTGATTCCTAAGTCAAATAAATGGACTGACACCTTAGATGCATTCTATTCACGATTCCCTTTATGTGGTTTAATTCTTTAGAGATGATGAAGCCACCAGGAAGAAACCACATAGAATCATCAATTATTACCTTGCCAAAAGAAAAAAAAAGGATATCAATTAGAACATTTCTATCATGTCTCGCGCACACAAATTCTCACACCAATTATCACAAGAAAATAAAAATATCTAATATAAATGTCTATGTATTCTCTTATATAGATACCTAAGTGTTTGTATTTATATATCTAGAAATATATAGAGATACCACAAGAACTATCACGAGTTGGTTTGATTAAGATTTTCAAAAGAAAAAACTAACTCAATTAAAAATATTTGATGTTATTTTATTTGATTTTTGTAATAATTTTTTTTAAGTAATATTTTCTTCTTTGATACTTAAATAGAAAATATGTATATGTATGCTTGTAATTTGAAACATAACATTTATTATTTACTTTCTGTTACAGGATTCCCTGGTGACCTCAAAGTAACAGTGACCTACATCCTAGAAAAAAACTCCCTAACTATAATCATGAAAGCAAAAGCTCTAAACAAACCTACACCAGTAAATTTAGTTAACCATGCATATTGGAACCTAGGAAATCACAACAGTGGCAGCATTTTAAATGAAGTGGTTCAAATATTTGGTTCAAAAATCACACTTATAGACAACAATCTAATTCCCACTGGAAAATTTTCATCAGTCAAAGGAACACCCTATGATTTCCTAAAGCCAGAAATTGTTGGTAAAAGAATTAATCAATTACCAAAAACAAATGGTTATGACATTAACTATGTTCTTAATAAAGAAAAAGAGAAAAATGAAGAATTAAAGGTTGCAGCTATAGTCATGGATAAGAAATCAGGGAGAGTTATGAAGCTTAGTACTAATGCTCCTGGTTTGCAATTTTATAGTGCTAATTTTGTGAAGAATGAGAAGGGAAAAGGTGGATTTGTTTATCAGCCACGTAGTGCGCTTTGTTTGGAGAGTCAAGCTTTTCCTGATTCTGTTAATCATCCTAAATTTCCTTCAACTATTGTTACTAAAGAAAAGCCTTATAAGCATGTTATGTTGTTGAAGTTTTCCACCAAAGTTCCACATGCTTTTTCACAATTCTAGTGTTTAGCATGATTGTTATGATCATGCAAACTATATGATTAAGTCAAATAAGTGGATTTTTTGTTAATTACCCTCACCATTTGTTATGTATGTTTCATCTATTTTGTAATACTATATGTATAATTGGAACTGTTTGAGGAGAGACTTGTAAAGTTCATTAAGTTGTAATAATTATTGGCCAACCTGAAATTTTGATCAATGAATGTGTGATACAATCAATGCAATCTTGTATGAAAATTGTAAACATGAAATTACATAAATATTAAAGGTTGGATTTTCTACCTTTCCAAAATTTATTGGAACTCTTGTTTAATATAGATCTAATATGATTAATCCATCTACTATAGTCATCAAATATGATTAATCCATACCTCTTACTATTAACTAGTGGAGTTTTAATTGGCCCAAACAAATCAATGTGTAAGAGCTCTAGTGCTTTGGAAAGGAAAAAATATTTTTATAATGAAAATAAATTTTTACAAGTGTATGTTTCTACATGCCTCACAAAGAGCGTCAGATTGATACTTCATATTAGGTAATCCTTTTATGAGCTCAAGCTTGTTTAACTTAGAGATTGATCTCAAGCTAACTTGTCCTAATCATGTCTGTGACAACTATTTCTCTTTGTTAACTAACATAAGGCATTTCACTCCATTTTTTCAAGGTTAGACAACTTAATTTTATAAATGTTATTTTCCCTTATTCCACTAAATATGACAAAACCATCTTTTTAACTAATAACCTTACAGTACTTTTGATTAAAGAGAACACCTTAACTATTGTTATTTAAATGACTTATGCTCAGTAGATTGTACATTAGTCCTTCAACTAAAAGAATATTAATGATACATGGAAGAGATTCATTACCTACTATTCTGGATTCTATGATTATGCCTTTCAGTCTCCCTCCAAATCTCGCATTTCCTCACTCTTTCATTTTGAAGCTTTCGTACTTACGTCTTTCTCTCGTCATGTGTTGTAAGCATTCATTTTTCAAGTACGTTGACTAGTGTTTTAACATAGTTTCTAAAAATATTTCTAATATATATAAGTTTCTCATCTTCATCATCATCACCTATTGTGCCTTAGAGTTCCACACCAGAGGATGTCAATGTCATAAAGGCAAAATTTTCATGATAGTATTCTTCATTAGAGCATTCATCAAATTGATCTCATGTGCACATGAGTTATTTCTTCATTCTTCTAGATCCATTTTCTTTGATATTTCCTTCTCCATCTTGGAACATTCATTTTTGAAGTGTTCAAGCTCTTTGTATTCAAAGAAAAATGAACTTCTTGTCAGCTTCTTTCTTGTTTCTTGGATTCCTAGAATATTTAAAATTATTGTTAAGAAATTGTTTCTTCCTTTTGGTCCAAATATGTTGCACTTTCTTGGAGACGAGGGAAAGCTCAACACCATTTATTTCTTTTTCAAGATCTCCTTCTTCTAATTATTTAGACTGTAGAGGGATCTGCAAAGGTCTTCAAAATCTAAGGTATTTATATCATTAGCTTCTCTAATAGATGTTACCTTTGGTTTTCATCTCTTTAGTAGACTCCTAAAAATTTTATTGACATGATCAGTTGTAGTGCAACTTTTGGTCATTACTTTGATTCAATAGACTAAACATTGAAATCTATAAAACATGGCCTCCATATTTTCATTTTGAATAACTCATACTTCTTCATCAAAGCATCTTCTTTGGTTTCTTTCACTTGTTTGTTCCCTTCAAAGTTCAAACACGCTGAACCATAAATAGTTTTTATTGATTTTGTATTCACAATCTTATCAAATAGTTACTCTAATTTTGTAATGTTTTAGACATATTCAATTCTATCTTCTAATGTAGTGGTTCCATTCCCTTTATCATACTTTAGGTTAAGATGTAAATAGGGTTTCCTTTTTAAGACCTCGCCTGCTAGAATATTTTTTTCTAGCATTGTCTAACATATCATCATTAGATTCCTCCATATCAAAGATGGGTACAAAATTTGAGCCTTTTCCTTGGGAAGAATGTTTCTCCTAATTTTTCCTAGATGAATTACTCAATAATGCTACCTTGGAAGCCACATCATTCAGATAGTGGTAGGCTTGCCTGACCAATATACCTTTTAGTGGCGTGGGTGTATATCGCTGATGATGATTGATATATATTTAGTGTTTGGAAACTAGAATAAACACTTTACAACCATATTTATGAACCTCTAAATTAATTTGGTTACTGGTTCATCCACTATTGTTTTAGGTTCATCAAATTTTTGATCAATGAATGTGTGATACAATCAATGCAATCTTGTATGAAAATTGTAAACATGAAATTACATAAATATTAAAGGTTGGATTTTCTACCTTTCCAAAATTTATTGGAACTCTTGTTTAATATAGATCTAATATGATTAATCCATCTACTATAGTCATCAAATATGATTAATCCATACCTCTTACTATTAACTAGTGGAGTTTTAATTGGCCCAAACAAATCAATGTGTAAGAGCTCTAGTGCTTTGGAAAGGAAAAAATATTTTTATAATGAAAATAAATTTTTACAAGTGTATGTTTCTACATGCCTCACAAAGAGCGTCAGATTGATACTTCATATTAGGTAATCCTTTTATGAGCTCAAGCTTGTTTAACTTAGAGATTGATCTCAAGCTAACTTGTCCTAATCATGTCTGTGACAACTATTTCTCTTTGTTAACTAACATAAGGCATTTCACTCCATTTTTTCAAGGTTAGACAACTTAATTTTATAAATGTTATTTTCCCTTATTCCACTAAATATGAAAAAACCATCTTTTTAACTAATAACCTTACAGTACTTTTGATTAAAGAGAACACCTTAACTATTGTTATTTAAATGACTTATGCTCAGTAGATTATACATTAGTCCTTCAACTAAAAGAATATTAATGATACATGGAAGAGATTCATTACCTACTATTCTGGATTCTATGATTATGCCTTTCAGTCTCCCTCCAAATCTCGCATTTCCTCACTCTTTCATTTTGAAGCTTTTGTACTTACGTCTTTCTCTCGTCATGTGTTGTAAGCATTCATTTTTCAAGTACGTTGACTAGTGTTTTAACATAGTTTCTAAAAAGATTTCTAATATAGATAAGTTTCTCATCTTCATCATCATCACCTATTGTGCCTTAGAGTTCCACACCAGAGGATGTCAATGTCATAAAGGCAAAATTTTCATGATAGTATTCTTCATTAGAGCATTCATCAAATTGATCTCATGTGCACATGAGTTATTTCTTCATTCTTCTAGATCCATTTTCTTTGATATTTCCTTCTCCATCTTGGAACATTCATTTTTGAAGTGTCCAAGCTCTTTGCATTCAAAGAAAAATGAACTTCTTGTCAGCTTCTTTCTTGTTTCTTGGATTCCTAGAATATTTAAAATTATTGTTAAGAAATTGTTTCTTCCTTTTGGTCCAAATATGTTGCACTTTCTTGGAGACGAGGGAAAGCTCATCACCATTTATTTCTTTTTCAAGATCTCCTTCTTCTAATTATTTAGACTGTAGAGGGATCTGCAAAGGTCTTCAAAATCAAAGTTATTTATATCATTAGCTTCTCCAATAGATGTTACCTTTGGTTTTCATCTCTTTAGTAGACTCCTAAAAATTTTATTGACATGATCAGTTGTAGTGCAAATTTTGGTCATTACTTTGATTCAATAGACTAAACATTGAAATCTATAAAACATGGCCTCCATATTTTCATTTTGAATAACTCATACTTCTTCATCAAAGCATCTTCTTTGGTTTCTTTCACTTGTTTGTTCCCTTCAAAGTTCAAACACGCTGAACCATAAATAGTTTTTATTGATTTTGTATTCACAATCTTATCAAATAGTTACTCTAATTTTGTAATGTTTTAGACATATTCAATTCTATCTTCTAATGTAGTGGTTCCATTCCTTTTAGCATACTTTAGGTTAAGATGCAAATAGGGTTTCCTTTTTAAGACCTCGCCTGCTAGAATATTTTTTTCTAGCATTGTCTAACATATCATCATTAGATTCCTCCATATCAAATATGGGTACAAAATTTGAGCCTTTTCCTTGGGAAGAATGTTTCTCCTAATTTTTCCTAGATGAATTACTCAATAATGCTACCTTGGAAGCCACATCATTCAGATAGTGATAGGCTTGCCTGACCAATATACCTTTTAGTGGTGTGGGTGTATATCGCTGATGATGATTGATATATATTTAGTGTTTGGAAACTAGAATAAACACTTTACAACCATATTTATGAACCTCTAAATTAATTTGGTTACTGGTTCATCCACTATTGTTTTAGGTTCATCAAATCAGCTTTTGTGACCTCAAACTTAGGCCATTAAAACCTATCATAGGAACACATCACCATGTCGGCCCAGATTTGTATTGAGTGTTGAATAAATTTCCAAAATATTAAATTGATAAATAATAATGGATAAATTACTAAAATAAATGGCCAAATATTGTAACTCTCTAGAATTGAACCAAAGACCTTATTGTGATAAGGCGCGTGGTCAAAAGGTTCAACCACCAGATCAACACAACTTTTCATGAAATGATTTGCTATTATTGATATATAATGGTTCGCGAATGGTTATGCTTAAACAATTGAAACATTGTTTCTCCTCACCAATTGGTACAAGTTTTTCTATAAATAAAGATACTTGTTAGGCATAAGAAAGAACATAAAAACTACTTGTTTCAAGTGCCAAAAATTATATATAAGTCATTTTTGTTATTTTTCTTGTGCACGAAAATAAGTGAAGGAACTTTATTCTGTAAAATAGCGTTGATCGATATGCTTAATGTGAATGTCCAATTCATGTTAAGGTTTCCAAAGTATCCTGATGGAGATTCGTCGGTTAACCCTTTTGCATCCAATTTGCATAAATTGGTGGGGCGAGTCGAGCTGAAAGTTTAATGTAAACACACACTTTGGAATTATTTTGTGCAACTTTCATCGTACCGTCTTCATCATCTTCTTCT